ATGGAATTCACTCTAGTAAGATTCTACCGGAATCGCAGAATATTAGAGCAGGGTCCTTAGAAGTCACCTAGGCCAAGTTCCTCATTTTACATTTTGGAAACCATGTCCCAGAGAAGAGCCCTACAGGTAGGCCTATAAGTCAACTCTGCTTCTGGTGATGTCCCTAAGACCTCAGGCAGAAAGCCAGGGGAGGTAAATCAGTCTGAACAAGGACCAAAGCTTAATAATAATGACAGCAATGCAGTCCTGCAATGTTTTATGTAAGCAGAATTATTTACATGTGTTATCTCACCAAACCCTCACAGTAAACCTGTGGTCCTTTCTAGCTTTTGAGCCTATGGTTCTACAACAAGGAGGACAAACATTATTATTCCCATTTTGTGGGTGAGAAGAATGAGGTTCAGGGAAGAAAAGGGGATTTTATGAAGTCTAACAGCTAGTAGATGACAGAATCAGGACTCAGACTCTTTAACACTGCCTAATTAGAATGAAATCAGAACATCAACATAACAGATGCAGCCTATTTCATTTTAGGGGACGGCTTTAGCAATTGGAAAGTTTGTCTGTCTTCCTTTAAGCTTTCTCCTAATTCTGCCCTTCATGGCCAAGCAGAACATTTCTAATAATGCCCCATCCCTACAACAGCTCTTTAGATATGTCTATAGCCATCATCCTCCCTCACCGCCCCCTCAGGCTTTTCTTCCCCAAAATCAACATCCAACTCTTCCAAACTATCCTCATATGTCATAACCTTAAATTACTTGTTTTATTTTACTGTAAATAACTTTAGCCTGTATTCACTCTGTCAGTCATTTATTCATTCATCATAAATAAAAACCATTGAGTCTGGACTCAGAGAGACCTGAATTTGAATCCTGACTTTGCCCCTTATTATCTATGTGACTTTGGGAAGAGGCTTCCCCTTTTGATCCTTATTTTCTCCTTCCATAAAACAGGAACATAAGAAGGAAGTTTTATGAACCATGAATGTGCTGTAGAAGTGTCCCCTCATTAGAAATTGCAAAAAGAATGCTAGATCTTGTAGTCTTAGAAGCTGGGTTCAAACTTTCTCTGCCTCTCACAACCTATATATCCTTGAGCAGGCCACTTCACCTCAGTTTCCTTGTCTGTCAAGTGAGGAGGTTGGGCTAGAAGGTCTCCAAGGTACCTTTCAGCTCCAAGTCTATGATCCTGTGATTCTTTCACTTATTAAGCACCTTCTGTGTACACAGTTTTGTGCTAGTTATTGGGGCAGATACAAAAGATAAACAAAGTCCCTGATTTCATATTCATTGATACAGGAATAGACAGACACAAAGAACTGTGGACAAAAATCTAGTGTAAGTGCAGAAGAACTGCGCAAAGTACTATTAAGGCTGATGAGAGAGAGATTATTTTTACCTGGGGGCATCAGGGAAGACTTCAGAGAGGAGGTGGCACATAAACTGGGCATTGGAGGGTAGTTTTATTTTTATAAATTTTATAATTTATTTTTATACTCACCCAAATTATCACTCCAATAATGGTAATAATTAAAAATGACTGATGAAGTCAGTGGTCCAACTCTAAACTTATGATTCTCCCATCAGAATAATATACATAATAATAATAGCACTTTTCTATACCTCTTTAAGGTTCACAAAATATTTTCTTCAAAACCCCTTGAGATTGGTGTATACAAATTATGATTCCCATTTTACATATGAAGAAACTGATGACCAGAAAAGTCCAATTGCACATCCAGGTATCTGCTCTGTGCCAGGCACTGTTCTAATACAAATAAAGGGATACAAATAAAGACAAAAGCAGCCCTTATCCATTAACACACAGCTGGTAAGTGCCCAAACCAAGTCATTCACAAATCCAATGCTCATTTCATTACACAAATGCTAAGCTTTATAGTACCAAGGGAGTTAGGATGGAAGAGGAACAAAAGCAAAGCCGTTTTTAGGGGAAAATGTGTTTTTTTTTGAAGGTGACTGCCCTGGGCTGGAATCAGGATGCCCACACTGTAGTCCCACTTAGCTCTACCAATGACTAGCTGTGGGATGTTGGCAGATCCCTTCTTTTCTCTGGGTTTCTGTTCCATCATCTATAAAATGAGCAAGGAGAAAGGTCAGAAGAGAAGATCTCCAAGCCACAGCCAGCTGTAACATTCAGTAATTTTCTGTTCTATGGTCTCTACCAGTGCCAATATTCTAAATTCTCTTTTCTAAGCCCCCCCAGCTCCCTCATTCTACAGTTCATTTAGTAATCTTCCAAGAAAGAAATCAAAGCTCAGACCAGATCCACTTCCTATTTTCTACTCTCATTTGGTCAGCTAACATTTATAAACTGCCTACTCTGTGCCAGGCACTCTGCTAAGTGCCAGAGATACAAAGAAAAGCCAAAACAGTTCGCTCCCTTAAGGAACTCACAATCTAACGTGGGAGACAACATGTGAACGACTGTGTATAAACAAGATAAATACATGATAAATTGGAGATAATCAACAGAGGGAAAACACTAGCATTAATGGGAATGGGGAAAGACTCCTAACAGAAGGTGGAAGTCTAGTTGAGACCCAACACAAGCCAGGGAAACCAGGAGGAGGAGAGAGTCCAGGCTTGAGGGACAGCTAGTGAAGATGCTGCTGGTCAGATAACCATTCCAGATCCTTACGCAAAGCAGGGACCACTGGCAGCCAAGAATAGCGATTGTAGGAAGTCTCAGGGATTTCCCTAGGTGTCCTTTTAACTTTCTGCCCTCCTGTGATCCTTTCTAGGGTATTGCACATTAATAATCTGTGTAATATATTTTCTGTAGAGTACTTTTTAGAAATCTAGTTGATATAAAATTTTAAAGGAGGCCTGTCTGTTTGAACTCCAGTGCTCAGATGATTCATTCATTCAGCAAATATTGACGTGCTGCCTACCTTGAAAAGGATTTGCTGCTACCTTCAGAGGGAGATGCAAAGGTGGATAAAACTGGGTCCCTGCTCTCAAGAAGCTTATTAATAGCATATAAGAATAAGACAGGAACACTTAGAGCTAAAATACAAATCAGAACATGGTAAGTTCACAAAGCAGGTGTAAAGTAGTGGAGTCATAGAATGTTAGGGCTAGAAAGATCCTGTTCCACCTTTTTTTCACACATCAGGAAACGAAGGCCAGAGTGATGAAGCAGCTTACCTGGGGTTACAATGTGAGTTAATGGCAAAGCTGGAATTAGAATCTGTGCTGGAATTCTGACTCCTAACCAGCATTCAAGAGATTAGTGTATTTCCTCCGTACCTTCGTTCTGCGTTTTGCTTTGGAAATTGGACTTAATGTTAACGTAAGTGCAGGAGCAGCCAAGTGGTACCATAGCACACAGAGCACTGATCCTGGAGTCAAAAAGACTATTCTTCCTGAGTTCAAATCCAGCCTCAGACATATACCAGCTGTGTGACCCTGGGCAAGTCACTTAACCCTGTTTGCCTCAGTTTCCTCATCTGTAAAATGAGCCGGAGAAGGAAATGGCAAACCACTCTAGTATCTTTGCCAAGAAAAACCTAAAATGGGGTCAAGAAGAGTCAGACATGACTGAACAATAAGAACAAAAGAACCTTTTGGAATAGCAGTTTGTAAGACTCATTGTATACCAGGGAACTGACTGGATGCTGGCTTCCAAGGACACAGTGTCCATGTACAAACTATGAAACAGGATGAGAGCATTCATTTCCTGGATGGAAGGATCAGGGGAGACTCCATAGAGAGGGTGGTATTTGAGACTCCTTATCTGAGGCAGAACTATCAGTTTTGTCCTTTCTGTCTTGCTATAGATTTCAAGTCTCCTCCCTGATAGCCCGCTTACAATTTCAGGAACCAGATCAGCCTGGGAATTAACCTTTTTAAAAATCTAGTTGATATAAAATCTTTAAAGCAGCCCTATTTGACCACTAAGAGAGTAAAATAGATTTCCGCTTTTGGAGTGACAGCCATGTGGAATTAGGCAAGGCCCATTCCTGTACCAAAACTCATCCCGAATCAGCACAAGGGAAGACACTTTGAGTCTGTCTGGCTGGACTTGAACTTCCAAGCATCTCTAGCTTAGCAGGTGATGTGGACTCAGCACCAAGGACACAGACCAAAAGATTCCATTCTAACCGTAGAGAAGGGAGTGAGTGCATCTGAACCTATTTATTGTCCAAGAATATATACACCAGAAAACAGACCTCTCTCTGGTCAGTGCTCTTGGGCAAGTCGCTTTAACTTTGGACATCATTCCCCTCATCTGTGAAGTGGGGATAAAATTGCATGTGAACTGTGCTTGATAGTATTATCATGGAGAAGGCGCTGTATAAACTCAAGGCACTATGTAGATGTGAGTTGTCTCTGCTTTTATCATTGTTGTTAGCAGGCATAAGATACTATATTTGTGCTAGGAAGATGTGTGCAGGGCTTTAGTTCTAAACAGAGTCATAGCATGGAAATAATCCCCAAAAGCAGCGTGGTGGAGTGGAAGAAGTGTTGCCACAGAATCCGTATCATAGAATTTAGAACTGGAAGGGTCCTTAGAGACCTGTCAGCCATAGGGTCAAAAGCTAGAAAGGATCTTGGGAATCTTCTGGTAGACTCTGACATTTTTTCAGATGGGGAAACCGAGGCCCAGGGGACTTAAGTGGTTTACCACAAGGTAGTAAGTAACAGAACAGGATTTAGAGTCCAAGACTCCGAACTCCAAACCTAGTGTTCTTTACACTACCCCACACCTTTGTGTACACCCTAGCTGTGTGACCAGGAACCAATCACTTGACCTCTCTGAACCTTAATTTTCCTTACATATAAAATGTAAGTGATAAGACTTACATTCCTGTAAGGAAAACATTTTGGAAATTACAACACATTGTCGCAGTGTGAGCTGTAGGGTTGGAGGAAAGAGTTTCTCAGGATCGTTAATTGGTATTGTTTCTTAAATCATGCTTCTCTTTCGTATGTCCCAAAATAGCCACCTCTGAACCTTGATCTTTTGCTTTGCAGAAGGCTGTCCTGGTTTGTGCAATGGGAATGGCAGGTGTACCCTGGACCTGAACGGATGGCACTGTGTCTGTCAGCTGGGCTGGAGAGGCGCGGGCTGCGACACCTCCATGGAAACCGCGTGTGGTGATAGCAAAGACAATGATGGAGGTACGCGTCTGGGACCCTTAGCTAGAGGGGCAAATAACCACCTAGGGACTACGCCCAGGGTCAGCTCTTTAGCCAGAAGATGCTGGGCCTTTGGTGTTGATTCACTGGAGAGACTCCAACTCCAGCTGACTAACTATAGTGTCTTTTAATGAAGCTCTGGACAGAGTGTAAGAAGACCAGGATTAAATAGTTTGTGGTTAATTAGTTATTTGACCTTGGCAAACCATATAGCATAACAGAAATCATAACAATGTCAGCAACAATAATAGCTGGCATTTATATGGTGCTTAGAGGTCTAAAAAGCACTTTGCAAACATTAGTTAATTATCTTTGGATTTTGCTGCCTTTAGTAAGATGGTGGAAACAAATGGTTGCTAATGTGCTTTTTAGTTCCACCATTCTTTGTTCTGATAGACTGTGTTATGACATTCTCTCCCATCTCTTGTATTCTCTGTTCTAAGATTCCTTCCGACTCTACTATTCTTTGTTCTAAAGGCCCTTCCATACCCAGGGTTCTGTGTTCTAAGGTGCCTTCCAGCTCTATCCTGCTATATTCTGGCTTCTAACATTGTCTCTTTTAAAGATGTTTCCAGTCCAAATGTCTAAGATTCTGATCCTTAGTTGTCTACAAAATTACTTGGATCATGGTACCCCCAAATCTCACCTCTTAACAGATAGGGGTTATGCTACATTGCTTTATCTTCCTCATGATGTAATAATAATAAAAGAAAATAGTTAAGAAAATGGTTTAGGAGGTAAATTACTAAAATTTTGATAGCATTATTATTACAGTGTTATTATCTAATTGGCTTAATTTGATCCATATCCTGGAGGTACTTAAGGTATGAAATTCTAGGGCATTTCACAGATTTTTAATACCAAGAGTGTGTTGGACATTATCTTACAGTATCAAATAGCTGAGGACTGAGGGAATGATCAGATTTGAGGGTTGAAAGAGAACTTAGAGTCATTTAATGCAGATCATTCTCACCACAACACTTAAGTCAGTCAGTAATTAAGCATTTATTAAGCACCTACTATGTGCCAGGCACTATGCTAAGTGCTGAGGATACAAAAAGAGGCAAAAGATTGTCCAGACAGTGTAGTCAAGGAGCTCACAGAGTGACGAGGGAGACAAGAAACAAATATGGACAAACAAACTATATACAGGATAAAGAGGGAACAGTTAATAGAGGGAAGGCACTAAAATTGACAGGGGTTGGGGAAGGCTTCCTTAGAAGGTGGAATTTAAAGGAAACTGGTAGGTGGAGATGAGAAGACAAGAGAGACAGAGAAAATGTCCAGAGCTGAGAAATGGAGTGTCATGTTTACAGAGCAGCCAAGAGGCCAGCGTCATAGGATTGGAGGGAGTGATATGTAAGACTGGAAAGGTAGGAGGGATCAAGGTAATGGAGGGCTTTGAATGCCAGAGGATTTTGTATTTGATCCTAAAGGCAATAGGGATCCACTGGAGTTTAATGAGTAGGGTGTGGCATGGTCTAATCTGTGCTTCAGGAAAATCACTTTGGCAGCTGAGTGGAGACTGACTTAGAATAAGGAGAACTAAGGAAGGGAGACCCATCAGAAGGCTATTGCAGTAGTCCAAGAATGAGGTGATGAGGGCCTGCACCAGAGTGATAGCATTGTCAGAGGAAGGGGACAGATTTGAGAGATGGTGAAATCTGTAGACCTGGGCAACAGATTGGATATGGGAGGTGAGAAATAGGGAGGAGTGAAGCTGATACCTAGGTTGTGAGCCTGAGAGCATTGTGGGAAGGTGTTGGTGCTCTAGACAGTAACAGGGAAGTTAGGAAGGGGGGAGGGTTTAGGGAGAAAAATAATCAGTTCAGTCTGAGGCATGTTGAGTTTAAAATGTCTCCTGGACATCCAGTGTGACATGTCTGGAAGGTCATTGGAGATACAAGACTACAGATCAGCAGATAGGTTAGGGCAGTATAAGTGGATTTGAGAATCCTCAGTGTAGAGATGGTGATTAAATCTTTGGAAGCTGATAAGATCACCAAATAAAGTAGTAAAGAAGATGAGAAGGTGACCCAGGACAGAACCCTGACAGACCCCTATGGTATCCTACAATAGCCCCAACAAATTATATCCAACATCTTCTTGAACATATCCAAGCATGGGGATCTCACTCCTTCCTGAGGCAGTCCATTTAGGGACAGGTCTAATTGTTGGAAAGTTCTTTCATTGAGCTTGAATTAGCCTGCTTGCCATTTCTACTCATTGTCCCTAGTTATGCTTACTTGAGCAAAGCAGAATAAGTCTAATCTTTCTTCCCCTTCAGATACTTAAAGACTGCTATTGTATCCCTAAGCCCCTTCTTCTTCAGACTAAGCATTTCTAGTTTCTTCAGCTCATCCTTATGAAGCATGGTTTAAAGTTCCCTCACCATCCTTACCACCCTTCTCTGAGCAGACCCCACCTTGTCAGTATCTTTCTTAAAATATGGTGCCAAGAATGAAATGTGATCCCACAGATGGGCAGTGGCCAATGGCAGAAGCCAATGGAACTATCACTTCCCTTACTTTGGACCTTGGACTATTGGGTCAGTTTAAGAGGTGGTAAGTCTTGAGAGAACCAGAATGTCATTTGTTGTCCTTTCAAACAGAAGAGGCCTAGTAACCCCCATTCTGAAACTCCAAGTAGCCAGAAGAGCATGAGTACGAACCATGACTCTAGGCACAGTAAAGTGGAGAGTGGGCCACGTTACCCAGATAATGTTGATCTTAACTGTAGGTAGCCAACCAGTTTGGATAATTTAGTCCTCTCCATATCACCCCCAGTTATCTAGGTCAATATTGTCAAACTCAAATAAAATGCATGCCTAGGACAGCATATTGACTTGGAAAACTACACATTCACATTATCTGCATTGTGTTGTATTTTTATTTATTTTGTTAAACATTTCCCAATTCCATTTTAACCTGATTGAGGCTGACTCTGATCTAGAGAGGTTCCTCAGTTAAAATCTGCCCAATCAGCTCTCCACTTCACTTTGTCTCTGATTGGAAGCACAGCTTCTGAGTGATGAATGGTAAGTAGGTAGATAGGGTGGTATGTACATAGCACCCTAGCCTTAGGCTTGTGAGACATGATTTGGAAACCTGGCTCTGCTGCTTAAGAATTGTGTGACCTCGAACGTATTTCCTCATCTGTAAAATGGAAGCAGTAATATTTATAATACCTGCCTCCCAAGACTGGCATGGGAGGAGGACTCTGCAAGCCTTAAACATCTGCAAAAAATGAGGGGTTTTTTTATTAAAAGAGAATCAGCATAGTATATTGAAAATAGCTCTTGCCTCAGACTTAGAAACACTCAATGCATGGCTCAGCTTTGACACTTTCCTGTGGCATCTCAGGCAAGTCACTTTAACCACCTTGAGCCTCAGTTTCTCCATCTGCAAAATGTCAATAAGAACACTTATTACTACTTCCTTCCACAAGTTATTGTGAAGAAAGTGCTTGTGAACAATAAACTGGTGGACAGAGCATGGGGCTTGCAGTTGGGAAAATGTGGGTAACCCTTGCAAAGTCACTTAACTTGTTTTTGCCGCATTAAGTCAGATGTTTAGTAAGCATTTATGAAATACTTGCACTGTGCTAAACACTGGAATTACAGAGAAAGGGAAAGACACTGTCTCTCTTTTAGGGGACTCACTTTATAATGGGGGACATCATATATAAATATATATACAGAAATATATATACAGAGCCAATGGAAGGCAGTCTCAGAGAGGAAAGCACTAGGTGGGAGAGAGAGGGTGATGACAGCTAGGAAAGGCCTCCTGAAGAGTGTTGGGTTTTGGCCTCAGTTTCTTCATCTGTAAAATGGGGATAATAAAAGCACCTAACTCAGAGTTGTTGTGAGGGTAAAATGAGATAATATGTAAAGCGCTACATAGATGTTTGCTATTATTATTATAACTAATGAAAGCAGTCATGTCATTCACTCTAGTAGGACTCTAAATTATCTAAAAATATTCTAGACTGAGGGGAAGTAAACCCTATCCTGCTGTGTGAGTCTTCACTCCCCAGGTTCCCAGGTCTTTTCTCTGAAGCCTTAAGCAAGCTGTTTCACATCTGGAGAAGCAAATGGAGCCAAATGATCTGAATAAATATAGGGAAAGCACAGCTTCTCCCCCTCCTCCCTGCCGGGCCAAGAGCATAAGTCATGAAACAAAGGTCATTCATTCCCATGAATGAAACCAGATACCAGTTTATTCATCTTTTTTTTTTCACTATTTACAGCTGACAGTGACAGTAATAACAGTCACCACGGCAGGGGTGTGAGGGGGCTGGTAAACCCATTCAGTCCTAAAATCTCAAAGCTCCTATGGGAAAGAGCGATCCCCCCACCTTAGAGGAAGGGTCTGATACAGGCCCCCGGCAAGCTGGACACAGTCAACACGAGAGAGATCCAGCTGCTGAAACAGTGGAAGCAGCATGGGAGGGGAGAAGACTGCCACCACCACTACCCCCTACCAGAAAATTCACCATTCTGGACATGGCTAACTTGTGGGAAAGGGATTTCAGGCATGTCTGACTCTTCGGGAGCCCATTTGGGGTTTTCTTGGCAAAGGTACTGGAGTGGTTTGCCATTTCCTTCTCCGGCTCATTTTATAGAAGAGGAAACTGAGGCAAAGAGGGTTAAGTGACATGCCCAGGGTCACACAGCTGGTGAGCCTCTGAGGCTGGATTTGAACTCAGATCTCCCTGATTCTAGGCCCAGGGCTAGCTGCCCCATGCTGGTGGAAATGCTTATGACCTAATCTTCAGAGGAAGGCTCATAGCCTTATAGGTTATTAGATACCTACTGTCAAAAATGGAAGAAGACAGATCGGAGCATGTCAGAGAACAGATGGATATAGAACATAAGAGCAAGTAAGGCCATTAGGACATGGAGTCCTAGAACACAGGAAGTAGCGAGTCAGAGTCAGCAGGGTCATTAGAATATAGAGAACGACACCTAGAAGGAACCC